TGCGTATGGTCGTCTGCAGGGCGTACGGTCGGTGCGTACGGTTGTTGGCGGTGTGTACGGTCGTCGGTGGTGCGTACGGTCGGTTCGTATGGTTGTCGGTGGTACGTACGGTTGTTGGTGGCGTGTACGGTCGTCTGCGGTGCGTACAGTTGTTGATGGTACGTACGGTCGTCTGCGGTGCGTACGGTCGTCTGCAGGGTGTACGGTTGTTGGCGTTGCGTACGGTTGTTGGCGTTGCGTACGGTTGTTGATGGTACATACGGTCGTCTGCGGTGCATACGGTCGTCTGCAGGGCGTACGGTCGGTGTGTACGGTTGTTGGCGGTGTGTACGGTCGTCAGTGGTGCGTACGGTGATTGAAAAGTCGTTGCATTAGAGAAAAGGCAGTGAACGAAAACATGTGACAGATTCCACCGTTTATCAAACTGAATCTAAACGTTGAAGCTGTGTGTGGGAAACTGCTTCCACGGGACGAGCTGCTGACTGATGGTCCTCAGAGGGACCGCCTCCAGACAAGAGCCTACAGGTGTGTGTTAACACAATGTCACGGTGGAACAACATCAGCAATGACCTAAGAGAAGCAGCTATTGCTGCCTGACAATCTGAGAAGGGTCAAAGGTCATTTAGAGCTGCGGTCCCCAACCTTTATTGCGGCATGGACTGGTTTGATGTCAGACAATATTTTCATTGGGGGTGGGGGGGCGTGGTCTGGGGGTCCTCCCCATCTGAATTTTGAATAAAGTCGATGCCATTTCCTGCATTCTGGTGTATTTTACAAACATTTAAAACATTTTTTGCTTCAAATACTGAGTGCACGACAAACGGCTGCACGAGCCGAGATCATCGTCTGTCCAGTGAAAGTTCAGAGAACTCCTGCAGTGATTCACATCACTTTGTTCACAAAAGCACAGGAACTTATGCTTAGAGCAAAACGTTTAATTACATTTTTGTGTTTTATTATAAAATTACCTGTGACTGAACTTTATGGGGCAGAGATTTTTTTGAGCAGAAGCAAAAATGTGAAGCGACAGCTCTGATGTGATGTTAGGAAGCTTGTTAAAATTATACTTTTATTTATAGTTTTATAGTAAATCTTTCAGGCGGGTTGAAAAATATGCAGTGATCCTTCAAATGACAGATGCGGCTGCGCACCTCCACCTGTCTGCTCCAGACCACGTAGCTGAATTAGCAGAAACTGAAGCGAGCCACTTGTGTATGTTGACCTGTATAAGAGTGAGTCATAGACCGATGTGGTGGAGAGAATCTGGTGATTCTTCAAAATAAAACGTTTTTTTTCCCTTCTGTGCGGCTCGGTACCCATTGATCCACGGACAGGTACCGGTCCGCGGCCCGGGGGTTGAGGACCACTGCTTTAGAGTCCTCATTATGCAGAGATATTGCTCACAAGTAGAAAAGCAAATTCACCCTGAAGGTCAGACTGTGCAGTGACTCTACAGGCCTTAGTCCGCAGGTCAAAGGTCATGACCTCTTCTCTTTAAAAACAACATGGCAGAGGACGGATGTTTACCCAGAATGCACTGCAGCAGACGGCTCCTCCCAGCTGTCAGCACAGTGGTGCACGGCTGATGGTTCAGACTCCTGTCAGCCTGAGTGGACCAGAACTCCTCTGGAGACCAAAGGGTTCTGGAGTCCAACAGCTAAAGTTTGGACCAAATTGGGTCCAATTGGACCAGGATCCCAAACCCAGCAGCTGATCTACAACAGAACGGGTCAAAACGAACAGAACCAACGGTCCAGTCAGAGTCCAGAACCTCATCCTGACTGAAACTCTGTGGTGGGCCTTCTGAGATCTGAGCAGAACCGACGATGGAAAGAAGAGTGGACCAGAGCTCCTCCAGAACCACGAGGGACAATCGGAAGACGCAAGTTTCAAGGAGTGAATTGATCGGGATCAAAGAGAACCAGATTTTTCTAATCAAACAGATTCTTGTCGTTTGTCAGCTCTCCAGACTCAACGGGTTTGTTTAAGAAGAGCCAAATAAATCGAGAACAGTTTTTCAGCTCGTTTAAAATGAGAAAGGCCGAGGACGTGGGACAGAAGGAGACCTGCAGCAGAGGAAGACTGCGAGGAAGATGAAGACGAGCTCCATCTTTGTTCGTAGTCCACCTCAGGTTGTGTCGGTGTTTCCAACCGTAGCTCCCTGCGTGACCATCTGCCACAGCTTTGATCAGCCTCTGAGCAGCTCTTTGTCCGCCGCGCGCGTGTCCGTGTGCGCGCACGTGTGTGTGTGCAGCTGCCTTTTTAAACGGACTCGACCGAAGCCGCTAATTGAACACAAAGAAACGATCCCGCAGATCCTTCTCTCTTCCTGCATCTGTTTCTTTCTGAGTCCAGCGAAGGAAAAGGAAACGCTGAACTCGTTTCCGCCTCAACTCGTCACTAAATGCGCCGCAGAGTTTTTTAAGAAGCTGAAGAATCACCTGTTGTTCTGGTTCATACTGGTTAGACCTGATGCCAAACAGGAGAAGGCTCCAAGTCCTTCACACGTTTCACCAGTTTAACTGGTTCATGCTCAACATTCCAAAGTTCACTCAGGTTCTCCGGACAGTTTCTGTTTGAAACATTTCATCTTTTATCCAGAAGACTTCATCAGTCTGAGGAGCCACAACAAACTAACAGCACCTTCTCTCCATCAAAACCAGTTTGATGGTGCTCAGATGGTTTCTGGAGTCCGCCCTCTCCCCCGCCGACTCGTCTGAAGCAGTGGTTCAAGAACCGAAGTGGTTCAAGATGAAACGTTTCAACAAAGGAAACCGTCCAGAGGACCGGACTGGACTAAAACCCTGCGTTTCTGGAACTGTTGATAAAAGTATCTTCTGTTCGTCGTCCTCGCTCAAAGAAGCCGCTCGAGGACACGAGAAGATTTTTAACCAACTTTACTTACGACAGTTACAGATGTATGAAAAGGTTCTACATCGGTCATGAGAATGTGCAGCGGGCAGTGTGCGGGGCTTGTTTTTATTTATCTGTTCATCACCTCTCAGGCAGGGGCAGGCCCTGATGGCCTCGGCCTCCCAGCTGCACATGCAGGATCAAATGAGCTCCTCTGGCAGCTCAAAGTTAATATTAGCCGAGATAAAACGTCCATAAATCTTGAGCAGGAATCAGGACAACGTCCTCTTTAACCCTAAATGGCTTTATCCCACATTTATTTATTTATTTTTGTTTGTGTTTATTTTTGTTGTTTGTATTTATTTGCGTTTGTCAGGTTTAATGACAGCACCAAAAATAAATACAATCTTCGACAAAGCCTAAAAATTCTTCTAAAGTGTTTGTCAGAATTGTTTTCACCGTGACGTTTCTGAGCTCTGGTGCTCCTTCTGGGGAACATCGACGCTGTTGGAGGAGTCCATTCTGAATTAACCTGATCCCATATTTATCCATCAACCATCCAATTATCTAACCCCCACACCCCGTATCTTGGACATTTCTGAACCGTTTGGACCAACACAGTCTCGAGGTAGATGCCATTAAGTTCTGCCTGTCCCCAAAACAACTGTGTGTTTATCTGAATGTGGCTCCCTTGGCTGGCCTTGGCGGCCATCTTATCTGAATTTGCCTGGAGAACATGTGATCTGATCAACCAGATGAAACCAGCTGAATAAACATTGTTCATCATTTCAGGACTCTTTGTTTCTCATAGGCGTTGTCCTTGGCCATGCCTCGAGAATGTTTATGGATCTCACCAGAGGGAACTGGCAGAGTATTCCATCCTTATCAGAACTCTTACAGTGACCTCGAGAGCGTCCATGGACATTGCTCGCCGCTCTCTTCGTCTCCCCCTCTGCAGAATGTCTACGTCACCATGTGCTTGTTTTTGCGAGGCGTTTTTTAATATTAGTTTTTCTTCTCAGCCAAGAAAAGTCTGATAGGATTTTATTTTTGCCTCCAATTCCTACATGTGTCCAGTTTCACTACTTTTTGTCTGTCTAAACAGATCTCACTTGTAAATGAGTCTTCTAGGCTCAATGTGACTTATTAAAGAAGGAGGGAAAAGTTTTCATCCAGGCTAGGTCGATGGTTAGCCATGTGATCTTTAGCGTTTTTTCAGGCTTGTAAACAAATGTTTTCCTCAAAGTTGACATATCGCTGTAAAAGAAAAGCTGCACTTTATGATGCCAGTTGTTCAAGTTGTTGCCATTTTGTGTTTTTTCTTTTCCCTGACTGGCTCTGGAACGAGGCGCACGCGTTCTCTTCCCTCTCCCTCCTGTTCTCTTCCTGCTTTTTTGCTCTCCGTCTGTGTATAAGAGCAGCTCCTACTTTTTACACATCTTCCGACATGAAAACTAATGGAGAAGCCTCATCTGCTCAGACGACACGTGCAGCTGGATGTGGGAAGTGGAATGTGATGCGTCTACCTCTGCTGTCGATCGAGGACGCCGAAATTGCAGATAACGGGATTCATGATAACGGGTTTCCCGTTTTTGGAATAGTCTGGTTCCTGGTCTTTCAACATACAAAGAAGACGACCGCAGCTAATTTGGACCTCGTCAGGCTGCTGCCTATGTGAAGGTTTGGTTTGTGCTTGGAGAACTCAAAACCAGCTGATTTATGAGCTAAACTGTTAGTTGGAAAGGATTTGAATCGCATTTGACTCCCCGGTTGACCTTGGAACATGCCGACTTATCAGTTTCTCCTGGTAAATGTGTAAACTAAGGAAAAGCTTCGTATATCGCAACCCCCCATCTTCTGTGGAGTCTCATCAGAGCTGTGCCGGCTGACCATCATCTTATCAGGACAATGGTCTATCTGTTAGTGCTTCATGGATCGCCTCATCGTCAGATGCATTTGTAACGTGTTCATAGATGTGCTGCTGGCAGAGTTTTTTTGATGTCTTAAATCGTGTCCTGTTAGGACAAGGTGTGAAGAGATCTTTTTTTTTAATGCCACGATCCTCTCCTCATGACTGTGTCCCTTTTTCTATTTAAAAAATGTATTCTGAAAAGTAAGAAGGTCGCGCTTTATAGCAGCAGCTTCGTGCACTCCGCTCATCTTTCGGACGACTGTACGGACATATTCTCGTATCTCGGTGCAATGATGATGAAGCGGATTCTGATGTACGCGCCCCGACGGTAAATAGTTTAAACGTCCATGTCCTGACGCTGCTGACGGGATCAGTCCACCAGGAGTTGAGTTGGGTTTTGACTGACTTTCAGGTGAACTGATCCCTTCGACAGCTGCAGTACCATCGGCGAATGATGGTCCGTGCTCTGAACGTAAATTGTCGTAGGTACACGGATGTTGATTGATGAAACGCCAACGTTGTGTTGCACGAGTGCAGCTCAGACGTCACCGTGGAAACATTCAACGTTGAAATGGTCAGAAGAAGTTGGACTTTATGCGACTGAACTGGTGTTTAGAGACCTTTTATGGTTTTTACACAATCATAGTTGAAGTTTTATGATTCTGGGATATATTACAACAGAATATTCCATTAGGTGTGTTGATGTCACATACTATAACTTTTACCAACCTTTAAAAACAAACTCTTCTTACTCCCATATTTTTAGTTACATAGACTGATTGTACGTAATGTAGGAATTTTCACCCGGTTAAAAAGATTGCTTAAGGATTTATGGTTCTTAAATTCCCCCAAAGTACAAAGAGTACTAAGACAAACTCATAGGATTTTGCTCAAAATATTCACATGAAAACAAAGTGAAGGGTCGATTTAATGTATTTCCTACATGAAACATCATAGAAACATGAAATTATCATTTCTCACAGCAGCTTTTTATTTATAATTGTTAGCCTTACTTTTCAGTCTGCATTATTTGTCTGCCTCTCATTAATGCAGCTGTAACAGAGGGATGGACACAGGTGTGTGGTTACCACGGTGACCATAATGCACCACTGGCAGCAAACTCAACGTTTGTTTTGACCCCTTACCCGTGACTTTCCGGTGATCCGGTTTGTTTGGTCTCTCTTCAGTCCGACGGGCTTCAGAACTCTGTAGCTGAGGTGAAAATGGTTTGACCCGAGAATTCTCGAAGAGGAAAAGCTGAAAAATGGCGAGACTTCAGGTCTGAAAGAGGGAGAAAAGATAAAACAATTCAGCTTTCTCCTCAGCCCAACGAAGCTGGGATCTAATCCGATTTCTCACCAATAAAAGCGAGGAGAGAATGAATGAAAAAGAAGAGATTTTCATTTCATTGTGGTTTTATTATTTTTCTGGGCTTTAATCGGCACAGACTGGTTATTATTTCAGGGTCTGAGTGCTCGAGGCGCCTCGTCCTAATCTCATCTGGAGGTGAGGGTGTGTAATCCCAGTCGCGGGGCGTTTATTGCGTTACACGGCTCGCATCTGGTGGGACCGTTTATTGCGTTACGCGCGGTGCGGCAGCACGTATCTTCAGTCCCCTGAGTTGTGCAGGCGGCCGGCAGGGTCTGTCGGACCAGAAGCTGCCGCTCGTCTGATGGAATTATCTGATCCGAACCAAACGCTCGCTGTCAGGGACGCTTCAACAAGGACCACCGTCTGGTTCACACACATCTGCATCATCACTAGACGGAGTGTCGTTTACACTTTTCATCATCCTAGCTTCAAGGTCAAGGTCACAAATCAAGGTCAACTTTTATACAAGGACTTTGTCCGAGCTGTTGCTATAGTTTTCCGTATAACGGTTTGTTTTCGGGCGTTTGTTTTCGAGTGTGTCTCACTGCTTAGGATTTAAATGGTTCAGTTTTCTGGCCCTCACGATGAACCTTCAGGGTCCCTCCTCACGTCGTTCAGTTTTTACGTTGTGTTAAAAGTACTCCGTGTCTTGAATCCAAACAGGCGGGTTGTTGGTCTGTTTGTTTAAAGCGACATTTTGTTTGTTGTGTTTCTGTAGAACATCCACGGCCACAAAGGTCCGATTACAGCCGTCTCCTTCGCCCCCGATGGGCGCTACTTGGCGACGTACTCCAACGCTGACAGCCACATCTGCTTCTGGCAGGTTAGACGACCAAACACGCAAATCTGATGTTTTTGTTGTTGTACTAAAAGGTTCGGCTTGTTTGACTCCTCATCGCGTCTCATTCAGCTTTAACTGGACTTTTATCGACTAGATAAAAATACAGAGTGACGCTGAGAGCTGGAGAACAGCTGAAATAAATGAAGGAGCTGAAACTGAGTGGTTCATGCTGATGGAAGCAGAACACTAGCTAAAAGCTGTAAAAATGCTAGCTAAAAGCTAAAGGTACGGTGACAAAATGCTAGACAAATGTAGTAAAACTAGCTAAAAGCTAAAATAATATACTAGCTAACAGTACTCTAGCAAAAAGCCAGCTAAAAGGAACAAACCACTAGCAACAAACCAGAAGTATCAAAGGACTAGCTAAAAATATCAAAAGGCTAGCTAAAGTTACAAGAACCAAAAAGTTAGCTTGAAGCTAAAAGTGTCAAAAGATTAGCTAAAATCTAAAAGTATCAAAAGGCTAGCTAAAAAGAGTGTGTCGGTAGTAGCTCTCAGCTACTACCACGCCAAAGTTTAGCTTGGCATCTGTAATGGGTTAAAGCCATCTTGGGGCTGGCTAAAATCAATTAGCGGTGGCGGCCATCTTGAACTGGACTGACGCCCAGTTGTAGATGTTCGTCCAATGTCATTAAAAATTTTCCAGTGGTTCACGAGATATTTTGCTAAAAGACAAATGAACACACAAACACAGGCAGTTACATGATCGCCCTCCTTTCATGGCAACTGACAACAAAGATCAAACACATTTCATATTTACAAACAAACAACAAATCGACCAATCACGGGCGTGGATAACAAAGTGCATGTGCACACTTAGACACACACCTCCATCTCTTCCCAGAACTGTTATTTTGAATTAAAGGACTTTACGACCTCTGACATGGCTGCACGCTCTCACACACACACTCACACACACACACACACACACACACACACACACGTGCACACTAATGGCATTACTGTAAGCATAAACCACTGGTAGCACGCCGGCAGGACGGCTGCTGTGGTAATTAGCTGGCAGACGTTTTGTCGGTGTGTGTGTGTGTGTGTGTGTGTGTGTGTGTGTGTGTGTGTGTGTG